AGAAGAAAGGTAGAGAAGAAGAAAGGTAGACTGTAGTAGGGCATAGTGCATGCCTACAATCTCAGCTAGTTGGGAGGATCACAAGTTCAGGACCAGCCCAGGCAATTCAGCAAGACCCTATCTCAAATTTTTAAAAAGAGCTGGGGGTATAAGTCAGTGGTAGAACTTGCCTGGCATGCATGTGGCCCTAGCTGGGTTCAACCCCCAGTGACACCAGGGGCCGGTGCTACATGGTATGCTAAATGGGAAGCTCAGGAAGGGTAAAGCATGGTGTTATGAGCGGAAAGAGGAACGGTTCTTGGAGCAACATACTTTAGAAAGAGAAGACATAGTTCAATGTGTAGAGGCAAGAGATGGCTTTTTTGGAATAAGAACAGTTTCTGTGTAGAGGCAAAAGAAGGCCAAGGGTAAGACAGGGATGCAGGTGGTGTGGTGCTGTGGGACTAAGAACAGCTGAGAGTTCTGCTGTGTGCTTCTGTTTCGTGTGCATGCGTGTGCGTGCATGCTTCTGTTTCTGCAGTGAGGGGAAAAAGCGCTTACTGAGAGTGAGCTGGATGGATGTCACAGTGGTAGAAGCAGAGGGAAGTGGTGAAATGACAGCCTAGATAAAAGTGAATAGACCTGACAACCGGGATTTGTTTGTTTGTTTTGTAGTACTGGGAGTTAAACCCAGAGTCTGAACACTATAAACAACATCCCCTGACCTTTTTTTGTTTTGAGATATAGCCTCACTAAGCTGCTGAATTTCCTACTCAGGACCTTCCTTCAAAGGTCCTGAATTGAACTCAGGACCTTTGCAGTGAGTTCCGTTCTCAGCCCTTTTGTTCTGAGATAGAATCTCACTAAGTTGCTGAGTTGCCCAGCTTTGGGCTCGAACCTGAGATCCACCACCAACTTGATTTGGGTTTGACTTTGTTACCCTCCTGCTTCTCCTTCCCAAAGTGCTGGGATTGGTTACTGACTTGTGCCACCACGCCCAGTTTAGACCTGAGACTTCCTGTGAAAGCCTATAAGGAACTATGAAGGCCTTCCTGAGTGGTCATAAGTTTAAGTGAACAGAGAGGCAACAGGTTTGAATGTTATTCTCAGCCCATTTTTATCTGTGCAGCAATGTTGAGTGAAATAAACAGCTAATTTGACCCAGATATATCAGGAGAATAAATTGTTATTAGAAATGTTATGTCTACCAACAGGGGAGAAGTTACTTGGGCCCCCTTTTATGATGGCATTAATCTGTTCATGTGTGGTTGATGGGAAAGAGGGCCAGGGCAAGTTCTAGCTGAGTGTGGAACACATTGTGCAAGAACATCAGGGAGCATCTCCAGAGGACACAGGCCAAGCTGAAGGAACACCCAGTGATCATTTTATTTATTTTATTTTTTTTGCAGTACTGGGGGTAGAACCAAGGACCTTGCACTGAATTACATCCCCAGCCCTTTTTTATCTTGAGACAACATCTTCCTAAATTGCCCAGATGGAATTCAAATTTGCAGACCTCTGCCTCAGCCTCCTGAAGTGTTGGGATTACAGGGCATACACCACCATACCCAGCTGAATACCTTCCCATAAAATATAGAATGCATAGCTGATGGACAGTGTACTTTCTGAGACCTGTATCTTTAGGCAATTTCATCCTTGTGCAGACATCGTAGAGTGTACTTATACAAGGTAAAATGGGTACTGCCTTAATCGTATGAGTGCACTGTCATATGCAGTCCACCACTGGCTGAATGTCATTATACTGACTGCTTACTCATGAGGGATGGAGAGACGTGGCACAATGATGCAAATTAACATCACCAGTAACAAGACATTGATATGTACCTCTTGACATGATAGGAGACACAAACATCCTGTCTGTGAAAGACTTGCCAAAAATGTGTAATTCCAATATAATTAGGAGAAAATATCAGGCAATTTGAAAGATAGTCTTCAAAATAACTGATTAGTAGTATTCAAAAAATGTTCAGGATCATGAAAAACAAAGATGGCAGAAGACTAAAGAAACATGACGATTCAATACAACATGGATAAACTTTACCAATTTCCCTTCACCTTTGTAGCATTTCAGGCTGCCTTCCGAGCTCAGGGGCCCCTGGCTATCCTGGAACACTTTGATACAGTCTACAGCATTTTACAGTAAGTAAAATACCCAGCTAGTGCCTTAAACAGAACTTGTGGCTCTTTGGCCCAAATTTGTATGTTATTCCTGAAATCCCAAATTATAGATTCACTGATAAATGGTTCTGGGTGTTGATATTTCTCCTCGTGAGAACTTACCCTGCTTGCCACCATGTTTGTTCAGCTGGGCAGCTCACATATTTTTGAACCTAGGATCCCTTCAGTTAGCTCTGGTCTGTTGGAATGGGCTCCACAGGTTCCTGTCTCACCCCCACACTTTCTTTCCCTCATAGTCACTTTCGAAGTATAGATCCTGGCCTCAAGGAAGATGCTCTGGAATTCCTGACAAAAGGTGTTGATGGGTCAGGGGGTTGGGGATGGAAAGTGTTGCATGTTTGTCCTGTTGCCCATATTTTATCAGCCATGTGATGATACCAAGGCTGTTGTGATTCAGTTGGTCTGACTAAGCCTGGGAACCCTGGCCTTGTTACGGTCTGTAATCTTGGTGGGTGATACAGAGTTATGTGCTCCCACTGTAAGGCCAGACCAACAAGAACTTTTTCCTGCTTTCAGATCACTTCTCTTTCGTGGGGGTGATTCTTCCAGGTGCCTGGGAGAAACTGCTGACTGGAGTGAGAGTAGGAATAGGACATGTTCCAGGTTTCACTTGGGGCTGAGGGTCTCCAAGGTCTTAGCTCTCTTATGGCCACTGAGAGATGAAACATAGATCTTTGGTAATCTGATGGCTGCATTGCTGAGTATTCGGAGATTGGGGTGTATGAGAGAGTGAATGAAACCAACTGCCAGATTCTGCCCCTTACAGTGGTATCCCGCCACTCCCAGGAGCTTCCAGCCATCCTCGACGACGCAACCCTGAGTGCATCAGGTAGAAGTGCCCACCTCAATGCCCTCAAGATGAACTGCTATGCCCTGATACGCCTCTTGGAATCCTTTGAGACAATGGCGAGTCAGCCAGGCCTCATGGACTTGGATGTAGGCGGGAAGGTAATTTAGAGCTCCTGGCTAACTGTACAGTGGGGAGAGGGGAATTGATGGAAAGAAGGGAATCCAGTGATTCTAAGAACACTGCTATACTCAATTAAGGTTTAGAAGGAAGTGCTCTAAAGTGTCACATTCCCTTCCCTACAAGACCTTTTTCTACATTTCAGAGCTTGTTTCTATGTTACCTACAGCCTGTCTTGAACTGGATAATTTGGGCACACAGATAGGCAGATATCGACCCACTGTTTATCGTTTCTTAGAATAAGAAATCTCGGAACAAAGCAGCCCATGGTTTTGACTGGGAAGAAGAGAAACAACCAATTCTTCAGCTCTTAACACAGCTCCTCCAGTTGGACATCCGTCACCTGTGGAACCACTCAGTAATCGAAGAGGAATTTGTGAGGTGAGTAGCTACCATGGTTATAGATAATAGAAAGCCAAAGACAGTCCTGGTGGCATATGCCTGTTAATCTCAGGTCTTGGAAAGCTGAGGCAAAAGGATAGCAACTTAGAGCCCAGCCTAGATAACTTAACAAAATCATATCTCAAAATTTAAGAAAAAAGAGCGGAGGCATAGTGCCGAGGCAGGAGGATTGAAAATTCAACCCAGAGCTGGGGAGATAGTTCAGTGTCTTTAAGTGCCTGCCTGGCAAGTGCAAGGTCCTGAGTTCAATCCCCATACCAAAAAAAAAAAAGTAAAGTTTCCCTCTCAGGCACCAGGATTCTGTGTACTCAGAAAAATAGTGTGTTGGGGCTGGCCATACAGCTCAGTGGATTAAAGCACCTGCTTAGGCAAATGCAGAGGCCTGCTGTGCCGGCCCCACCTCCGGTGCCTGCTGAGAGGGCAATTGCGACTGGGCATGCTGGTGTACCTGTAATCTCAGTGCTTGAGAGGCTGAAAAACAGGAAGGATCACTATGAGTCCGATCTGTGTAGTTAGACCCTGTACTAAAATACAAAAAAAAAAAAAAAAAAAAAAAAAATTCAACCCAGCCTGGGTAAGTTAGTGACTTAGAAAGACCCTATCTTAAGAAAAAAGAGTAGCGGGATTGGTGATGTTGCTCAGTACAAAGGCCCAGAGTTTAATCCTACCACCAAAACAAAACACTAGACCTGAGCTATGAGGAATAGATGGCTTTGTTTCTTAGATAAGTCTTCGAAATACTCGACTTGTGCCTCAATTCTGTCTGTGATACACAGAAGTATAAGAGTATGAAAAGGGATACTGCAGTGCAAGAACCAATGTTACGGAGCTGGTGAGATGGCTCAGTGGTCTAAAGTATCTACTTAGAACAAGCTAAGCTAAGCAAAGCACAGGGACCACGGTTCAATCCCCCAGCCCCACATGCCGGCCAGCCCCGCCCCCCCACAAAATAAAATAAAATATTAAAAAAAAAAAAAAAAAAGAACCAATGTTACTTTCATCTCTTTTTCTACATTCATAGAAAGATGTTCACTAAGGCTCTGGGGTATATAGTGAGCATCATTATAGGTTCTGGAAACAAGATTTGCCTTATTGGAGATTATGTTATGGAGCAGAAGGCAATTTTTTAAATAAGTAAAATGTGTGCTGTGTTTTACATTTTATTGTGCGGCAAAATAGGAATGGGAAGTTGGTGGAAAATGCTGTGATAAACTGGCTGTTTGCTTCGGATCTCTTTGAGATGGTGACATTTTGGCATGGAGGCACAGTGGGGAAGTGATCACTGTAAGATTGTCTGGAGGGCCAGATGTGGTGGCACACACCTGTAATCTCAGTGCCCCAGGAGGCTGAAGCAGTGGGCTTGTCAATTCAAGATCAACCTGGGCAATGTAGTGATTTAGCAAGAGCCTGTCTCAAACTAGGAGACGAGTCTAGGTCACTGTGAAGGCCTCGGACTTTAGTCCCTGGTACAGAGGAGCGGACGGACAGGTAGACAGATGGACAGCCAGCAAGGGCAGAGACCTGGGGGGCGTCTATCATGTACAGTCCTAGCAGTGAGGCCCAAGACACTGCCAAGAGAAGATGACAAGGCAGGCAGGCTGCGAGGCCAGGAGCAGTAAGGAGCCACAGTAGCCCAGAGCGTCGCAGCCCACGGGGTGACTCGGGCACATGTTCCAAGGGCCAGGGTGCAGCTCCCAAGCACGGCAGTGAGGCAGCCTGTCTCCCACTTCATAGCATCATCCTGGCTGCTGAGTGACTTTGGAGAGAATGGGACAATGTGAGTTCAGACTGGAGCAGCAGTACGGGTGGGGAAGGGCTGATCGTATGTGTATTTTTTCATATATATATATATATATATATTATTTTTCCCCCCCTTTTTCTTCTTAAGGGAGAACTTGCAGGATTTGCTGGCATTTGAGCAGGGCTTATGCAAGGTGCAGTCAAGGCTAATTCACTAGGGGCTTGCCCTGGCCATGTGGGAGAATAGGCCTGCTGGTAACTTAGTATGGAGATGGCTGTGAGTGCAAGTTCAGAGCTCTGTTTAGACCTAACAAGGTTGAAGTGCTTATATCTAAGTAAAGTTGTCAGATTTGGCTGTTGTACATGCAGATCAGGATTTCAGAAAAGAAGTCTGGGCTGCAGAGGACATTTGGGAGCATGTGGTTTTTACAGCTATGAGACTGGCTGGGTGTGCTGAATGCGCAGCACTCAGGAGGCTGAGGTAGGAGGATTGTCACAGTTTGAGGCCAGACACAACTACATAGCAAGATCCTATCTCAAAAAAAAAAAAGTTACAGAGGGCCGGCCAAATAGCTCAGCAGATTAAAGTGCCTGCTTAAGCAGATGCAGGGGCTGAGGTTCAATTCCTGGGCCTGCCCCTGTCCCCAGGCTGTGCTGAGATGGTGATTGCGACTGGGCATGGTGGTACATGCCTATAATCCCAGCACTTGGGAGGCTGAAAACAGGAGAATCACTACGAGTCTGATCTACATAGTGAGACCCTGTAGATCCTGTACTAAATACATTTTAAAAAAAAAAAGTAAAGTTACGAGACTGAGTGGGTCACTAAATCAGTAAGTTTACTGGAAGAAAACAATACCCAGGGCTCTCTAGCATAAGAGGATGAGATGAGGAAGACATGGCCAAGGAGAGTAGAACAGGGTCTGACATCCCGGAAGCCAGTGAATTCTGTGTGGAAAGGACCAAGTAAATGATCAGCTGCAGCTGCAAGGGCCATTACTATAGGACTCAATTGACCATTATATTTTGCAGTGAGGAGTCATTGGTAGGTTTTTTTCTTTCCTTCATCATATACTCTGGTTGTCAGCATGAAAACGGTTGAAAGGAAGGAGTACCTGTCTGCATTCACCCACTTACTTGTGTAGGAGACAGAATGAGGGCTGGGTTCTGCCCTGGGGCCAGCAAGGACAGACTAGACAAAGCAGGCCTCTGCTGTGTGGGCTTCCCCCAGCCGGCTTCATCATCCCATACTCCCTTCTCAGTCTGGTTACTGGCTGCTGCTACCGCCTTCTGGAGAATCCCACCATCACTTACCAGAAGAACCGCCCCACCCGGGAAGCTGTGACACACCTGTTAGGAGTGGCCTTGACACGATACAACCACATGCTCAGTAAGTGGGCCCTGCTTCACCCTGCCCGTGGTGTTTGGTCCATGATGCCCCATGTTCTGACTTCTGCAGGTGCCACTGTAAAGATCATCCAGATGCTGCAGCACTTTGAACACCTTGCACCTGTACTGGTGGCAGCTGTGAGCATCTGGGCAACAGATTACGGAATGAAGAGCATCGTGGGAGAGATTGTAAGGTGACTCCTCATTCTCAACATTTCTTTTTTGCAGTACTGGAGATTGAACTCAGGACCTGGCACTTGCCAGGCAAGTGGTTATTCTACTGATATATCTCCCCAACCTTCATTCTCAACATTTCTCATGCTAGGTTTTCCTTGGGAAGGGATAGAGATTGGAAGTATATTCTGTGCAACATGAGATAACTCATTCATTCGATACAAGTTTTTCCTTCCTAAAAACTAAATAGTACAACTATTTTTGCGAGAGCTGTATTTCCTTCCCTGTGTAGAGAGATTGGACAGAAGTGTCCTCAAGAGCTGAGTCGGGACACATCAGGGGCCAAGGGCTTTGCCAGCTTCCTGACAGAGCTAGCAGAACGGGTTCCAGCGATCCTACTGTCCAGCATGTGCATTCTGCTGGATCATCTGGATGGAGAGGTGAGTGGTCGAGGAGGCCTGGGAAGTTTTCCTAGGGGCTTCAGTTGAGTGTTGAAAGCCTTATTCTTTATATTTTTCTCGCTTTTTTTTTTTTTAAGACAGGGTCTCACTATGCAGTTCAGGCTGACCTTGTGCTCACTTTGTAGCACAGGCTGGTCTTGAACTTGCAACAATCCTCTTGCCTCAGTCTTTCAGGTGCTGGCTGTGATTACAGGCCACTATTCCTGGTGGTGGCAGTAGCTGCTGCTGTGGCTGTTATGGGTGCTTCTGTTGCTGCTGCTGCTCCTTCTCCTCCTTCATTTATTTGTTTATTTGTTTATTTGGTACATAGTCTCACTGTATAGCTTGGACTCTAGTGATCCTCCTGTCTCAGCCTCCCCAGTACTGGGATTACAGGCATGTGCCATTATGCTTGGTTTCATTGGCCACCTTGACATGGGGCCAGCATGTCATACAGTACCCGGGATCAAACCCAGGTCTTTTGCACTTGCACTTGCCAGGCAGGTGCTTAGGCCCCTGAGCTATCTCCCCAGCTACCTTTCTTCTTTTTTTAATGTGACACTGAGGATCAGACCCAGG